AGCTTCTGGTGGCTCCTGAAGTCCTTGGCTTGTGACAGCCTCACTTCAATCTCTGCCTCTGTCTTCACATGACCATCTTCCCTGTGTCTGTGTGTCCTCTCCTTTTCTGATAAGGACAGTAGTTACTGGATTTAAGGCCCATCCCAAGTCCAGTATGATATCTCGAGATCCGTGACCTAACTGGATCTGCAAAGACCTTACTTCCAAACAAGGTCACATTCACAGGTACCAGGGTTTAGGACTTAGACATATCTTTTTGGGGGACTCTAGTCAACACACAATGCCCACTATTTCCACAGTGGAAAGCAGGTTCATTTTTATGTTGATTTATGACTATATATGTGTGTGTGGTTAAGTGAATCTGTGTGTTAGTTTGTGTGTATGTGTGTGTCTGTGTGAGTATGAGGGTGTATGTTTATGTATGTAACTGTGCATGTGTGTGTGTATGTGTGTCCGTGTGTTTTTAAATGGGTGTTTATGGTAAGAATCTTTGTGCATGATTATGTGTGTGCGTGTGTTTATGTGTATGTGTGTCTGAGTGATTACATATGTGTGTATATATGTGTGTCCGTGGGAGTATATGTATCGATAAGAGTCTCTGTGGGTATAAATGTCTACGTGTGAGTTTATGTGTTTGTATGTGTGCATGTATATAAGTGCTTGACTGGACGTCTGAATGTTTTGTGTTTGTGCATGTCCCTTATCATACACAAGGCGGATGAGATCATGGTGGGAAGCCTCTGCTGGCATCCTGGCCGGGTATCTCTGTCCTTGCCACAGGTCACAGAACCAGTCCGTGTCACTGATGAGGTCACAGAATGATGCCAGGATCCTAGTAACCATGAAGAGCCCAGCGGCCACTCAGCCTACAGCCAGCTGGAGGGCTTCAGCACAGGCTTCAGCACAGCCCAAGCAAACTCTCACCAAACAGCTGGAGCACTACTGAGACTCCTGGGTGCTGGTTTCAAATCATGAAAAGCCACTTCATGGACCACACAGACCACACAGGACAGCAGTCACCACCAGATGGGGCCACTCTCAGCTTGGTCAGCCCTGAGTCTACCGTTGAAAGTGTGGAGGTGTGTCGGCCAGGTGGGTCCAAGGGAAGGAATGTAGGGTGCAGTGAGGAATGATGACCTGGTTGGGGAGCTGTCAGGGGGCCCCTGAGGCTGCTACTGAAGTGTCGTGTTAGCCATAAAAACAGATGGTAGGGCAAAGCAAATTAGCTATGGGATGCTTATTATGATCTCAGTTGTTGTTATGAGTATATAAGGTGATTTCAGAAGATATGTGGATGAAAATGTGAAATATTAATAATTACATATCTAGATTATGCATGTATTAGAAAAAAACCAGAATTAACATACCAATTCTGTGATTTTAGCAGTGATATAAAAATTCCTTTAAAATAAATTTATTAAAGTTAAACTAGTACATCAATGTGAAGATTGGTAGTAAGGAACCTTGAGGCAGCTCTTAAGAGTAACACAGGCTCTTGAGACCAAGGGTCAGGCACCAGCTCTGGCTTCACAAGGTACTTAAACTTGCTGTGCCTCAGCCTCCTAACCTGTTAAATGGGAATACAAATAATACAATATCTTAGGGTTGTTTTGAAGATTGAGTTAAAACATGGTGACTGGGGCACAATGATGCTCAAGGATATGGTGATCCCAGGGAGAGATATGGAGACACGTCACAAATGGTGCCGGAGTAGCACCCTTCCCATGAATTGCTTGTTTTTAATTGGCTTTGTGGAGTTATAATTTACATACAAAAACATCACCAATTTTAACAGTACATTTTGATGACTTTTGAAAGATGTATACCTTCATATAACCATCACAATTATTTGTAAGAACATTTTTGTCACTCCCCCCAACTTCCCTTTTGCCCCTTTGCAGTCAATTCCCTCCCTGCCCCTAGTTCTAGACATCATTGATCTGTTTTCTATCCCTATAGTTTCACCTTTCCTAGAATGTCATATAAATGAGACTATACAGGTAGTCCCCGACTTAAATGGAGTTCTGTTCCTGACAATTCCATTGTAAATTGGTTCCGACGTAAGTCGAATACCTCTTTTTTTTGTTTCATTTTATTGTCTTTTATTCTTTATAAATTCGGTCTTTGTCTTTGGGGGTTGAAAACATCACATACAAACTTACAGATATATTTTAACATTGTATGTAGTATGTATTACCAATGACAAGATGTTCCAAAAAAAAAAAACTGGTCAGTTGTGTGGTTTGCGGTAACATGTAACATGAATACATCGTAAGTCATGGACTACCTGTAGTATGAAGTATTTAAAATCTGGCTTCTTTCATTTAGCACAATGCATTTGAGATTCTGCCATATTGTAGCATGCATCAGTAGTTCAATCCTTTTTACTGATGAACAGCATTGCCTTGTATGTATGTGTGACGGTATGTTTATCTATCCACCAGTTAAGGAGCCCTGGTGGTGCAGTGGGTAAGTGCTTGGTTGCTAACTGAAAGGTCGGTGGTTTGAATTCACCAGCAGCTCCAAGGGAGAAAGATGTGGCAATCTGCTCCCGTAAAGATTACAGCCTTGGAAACCCTATGGGGTTTTCTACTCTGTCCTATAGGGTCGCATTGAGTCGGAATCGACTTGACAGCAACAGGTTTGGTTCGGTTTAGCTACCAGTTGATGGCCTTCTGGGATGTTTTCAATTTTCTGGTGATTTTTACCAGTTGCTGTTGAGTTGGTGACCCCATGTGTGTCCATAGGGTTTTCAATGTCTGATTTTTCAGAAGCGGATCTCCAGGCCTTTTCTCAGAGGTGCCTCTGGGTGGAGTCAAACCTCCAACCTTTCAGTTAGCAGCCAAGCACTTTCACTGTTTGCACCACCTGGGGACTCCTTTTAGTGGTTCCACTGATTCACTGCTTGATCCCTATAATCACCCTATGAGGCAGGCACCATTACTATTCCCATTTTATAAAGGACAGGGTCAGGGAGTAGTGTTACCTGCCCAGAGGCTCCCAGAGCCTACACCCTTTTGGGGTCCTTGGCTTCTAACGAAGAAAGGAAAGGTAGGCGGTAGTATTTGTTCCCTTAGGGACACTGATAAAAATGTCCTTCACTTCTCAGGGACCATGAAGAGGGAGGAGTCCCCTCCTGGGCCGGGGCCGGCTGTTCCCCACGACAGGGACCTGTACTTCTCCTCCAGGGATCTGGGGGCGCTGAGCTGGAGCAGCTCCCCTTCGTCCCAGTCATCTTCCGAGTACCAGTCTTACTCTCAGTACCAGTCCTGCTACTCGTGCATGTACGACCCGGAGGACGGGGCCCAGCAGAGCGTGTGCGCCTTCTACACCCGCGTGCAGACCGTCCGGGGCGTGGCTGTGGCCTGGGAGACCGAGGCCGGCTTCCAGCCGGTCAGCAGGAAGCCCCGCATTCATGAAGCCGAATTCATCAAGAGGCAGAGGAGGAAAGGATCATCCTTCGAGATGGCTTCCAACACCGACCTGCGTTGGGACTTGGAAGCCACCAAGAACTACTGCCCGGAGCCGGATGAGTCCGAGCTGCTGGGGCCGCTGGACTGCTGCCTCCAGGAGCTGCGGGACCCGCCAGACTGGCTGGTTACCACGAACTATGGTCTGCGCTGCGTTGCCTGTTGCCGGGTCTTCCCCACCCTGGAGGCGCTGCTGGAGCATGCCCAGTACGGCATCAAGGAGGGCTTCAGCTGCCAGATTTTTTTTGAGGAGATGCTGGAGAGAAGGCGGGCCCGGGAACAAGGTCATGACCAGCAGGTGGAGGAGGAGGAACAGGACCTCGAGGACAGCAGTGAATGTTCTAAGGCCCACGGCAAGGTGCCTCAGTCACAGCGGAAGGAGCAGTGAGCTGGACGTGATGTGCCCAACCCTGCCCTCACCTCCAGCACCTCGGTCCTCCTTCCCCCGCAGAGGACCAGAGCCACCAGGGCAGGGAGAGAGGCCCGCAGGCCGTGGGGGAAGGCTGCGAGTGGGTGCACAGAAGCAGCACCGTTAGAAAAGAGGGGGAAGGAACCCTTCCACAGGGCACACGGTCTCAACCAAAGTCTATTCCAAAACCTGAATCCAAAGAAGAGGGCTTTGAGCTCCCCAGTGGTGATCGGCATATCCAGAATCCAGAAGTGGGAGGCCTCACAGGTGTTTATTTTTGCTAGGGATCGAGAGAGTCCACATTTGCAGGATAAGTAGCAGGACTGGAAGGAGAGCTGATCACACTGGATGCTTCCGCCCTATTGTATCCATTATTAGGAATCCTTCCTAATGCTCTAGTTCTATGTCATGTTAGTGGGATTAAACTTGAAGATCTCAGTTTAAGGCAGTGGCTGACTGAATCAACAGTGCTTTGAAGTTGCACCCATATGATATTGCTGTTTCTGTAGGTCACAAAAGCATGACACCTGGGGACAGGCAGCTTCCCAGAGTGGAGATGGAGGCTGGGTAAGTCCTTCTGACCCATGAGTTCGCATATGTCAGCTAAGGTTTAAAATGTTGTTACAAAATTCATCTTTATCTTCCTACCTCCCTGCAGCTCAAGGAGGCTGCACCACTCAATAAAAGACATAGAGGTCCACTGCGTGTCAGACACACTGCACTCGATGGGGGTCTACCACGTGTCAGACACAGTGCACTCGGTGGGGCTCTGCCCCGCGTCAGACACACTGCACTCGGGGGTCCTCCACGTGTCAGACACACGGCACTAGGTGGAGGTCCACCGCATGTCAGACACATTGCACTCGGTGGGGGTCTACCACGTGTCAGACACAGTGCACTCGGTGGGGGTCTACCACGTGTCAGACACAGTGCACTCGGTGGGGC